CTAGCAATGTAAATTAGTATTATTGAGAGGAGATTTTGGATGTTGTTACTGTTGTTTTGTGTCCAAGTGAAATAAAAATTGTGCTTTGTATAATTTCTAGAAACAAATCCAATTTTTATATTTTTATTTTTTTAAATTATGGTCAGCAAATTAAAGACTCATTTTTATTTATTGGCGGACTGGTGTTACATTAGTAGATTGAACTTCGTTTAGAAGTTTGAACAATAAAAATTATTTGATAATGAGCTATTTGACTACCTTTTTAAACATAAACGCTAATTTTGGAACTGCTTAAGCAGCATTTCTGGGAAGAGATGATTTAAAATAAGGACAATGAAAGTAACATCTATAATTTTTTTTTTTTTTTTTTATTTACCAAATACTTATCTATTAATATATAATAAGGATTAACTTAATTAATTTTTAGAAACTATTTCCCGCCAAAAACATTAATTACTGCCTATAAATAGTAATTTAACAAAACAAGCATTAATTGCACATAATTTCTTTTTTATATTAAATTAAAAAGGTATAAATATCCGTATATATCTATACAAATATCCGTACAAACAAGCATTAATTGACTTACCAAACGTCCTTTTTGATATTAATTTAAAGGTATAAATATCCGTATATAATTATACACCCTCAATGTTATTTTAATAAATATATTTAAAAAAATCTATAAATCAGTTGGTTTTGAAATAACCGATAAAAATGGTAATGATATTTTTTGGATTTCGGTACAATAAGGAGAATTTTTTGGAAGCTACATAAATTCGTACAAATATTTGTTTTTCTTTAAAATATAGATATATTCGTTTTTCTTTAAAATATAGATATATTTCTTTAAAATTTCCTAAAATCGCTCTTATTTATTTCCGATTAACAGCAATTGTTTATGAAATAAATCATTATTTCACGCCAAGATTTTTGATTTTTTTTTGCTACATTAACATAACATGGAGCATTGATTGCAATAGATATATATACTATGGAATAAATCTCCTATTTTTAAGCCTCCATATAAATCTATAAATCATTTATATGATAAAATCGCAATAATATCTTTTCATTTAAATAATTTTCATCAAAGTAGCTCAGGGTGTAGTTCATGCGAACTCTGGTCCGGGGCAAGAACGTGTTACCTCACCATTAAGGGGCATTTCTTTTTGTACTATTGAGAAATCCTCAACGGCAGGATCACTTTTTTCGGTACCAACGTATATAAAAGGATATTCATTACCACAGTTATTTCTTTACGTCATTCACAGCGTTCAGAGAAAAAAAAATTATAGAGATAAATTTTAGAATACAACAATAATATCATGCAACCGGTCTGGGATATACTCAATTCTGTGAGTAGGACAAACAAACCTTATTTGTGATTGAAAGCAGTCCGAATATTTGAAACGCATCACGAACGAGAGAGCTGGAACCCATTCCATATACTGTTTCATGATGAACAAGTAAATATTTTTATTAGTAATATCAAATTTATAAATTTATTTTATAAATTTATTTTTATTAGTATTCCGAATAATTTATTTTTTTTGTGAAAAAATATTTTAATTAATATTTATAAATTTATTTTGTAGGGTGCATTTATTAAAGGCATAATACGTTCTACAAATATGGGAGCATTTCGAGGTGTACTGAACGAAGGCGAGGTGTATGCAATCAGCAACTATGTCGTTGAATTTAAACATGGGAAGAAAGATATCATAACCAACATATGGAAACTTGTGCTTCACAAAAGAACTCGTGTTATCAAATATGGTAAGATTTTCCCTCAAAATGGTGATCTTTTCCCTCAACATTAGCAAGGAGCGTGAGATATTTATGATATTTTAAGGTTTGATAAGAATTCCAATTTACATTATGAATTTCATTGTTATTCCATGTCCTTCAAGGTTATTATTTGTAATATATTTATTGTTTTATTAATTTTATTATGTTTTATTGTCATTTCATGTCGTTGAATTATGAATTTTAGTGTTATTATATTTGTTATCGTGAGATGACGTCTCTCATTCATTTCGATTAATGATTTATATGTTAAAAAATGCAACTGACGATCCAAGTTATTTAAAGGACAGGCTATATTAGCGCCTACTTTGGAGGTCGTTGACTCTATCAATCAATACATGTCGGATATGAATTCTGCTGAAGGTCGTACATATTTGAGCTCTGACAGTACGTCTAAGTCAGATTCCAGCAATGGCTTTTTGGTTGATCTCCACACACCTGAGTTCTTGAATAGCATTAAGTGTTCAGGAACGCCGAACCATGAGTTGAATTTGAAGGTAGGAACTTCGGTCATGTTGTTGCGGAACATGAACCATTCTATGGGTCTGTGTAATGGCACATGTTTGGTTGTTACGAAGCTCTCTCCGCATGTTCTTGAATGTAGGATATTGATTGGAGATCACGCAGGTGAGAAGGTGTTGATTCCTCGGATGAACATAACTCCTTCTAATGTTAGGGTTCCGTTTAAGTTCCAACGAAGGCAATTTTCCCTTATGGTTTTCTATGCCATGACCATAAACAAGAGTCATGGTCAGTCTTTATCACATGTTGGACTGCTCTTGAAAAAACCTGTTCTTAGTCATGGCCAGTTATACGTCGTTGTTTCACGTGTTACTAATAGGAAGGGATTGAATATTAGTTTGTGGGGACGATGAGTTATCCAGTAATCAAACTAATAACGTTGTATATAAGAAGATTTTTAATAATGTATAACCTTTTACCAATGACGATTTTATCTTTACTTTATGAATGTCATACGTATTATAATAACTTATTAATTAATGACCTTTTAATTTTTTAAAATTTTCCAAAATATGTACTAGCCTGTGCATCGCACGGGTTACATACTAGTCTATCTATATATATAAAGATTGTTGGTTAAATCTTTTTTAGAAACTTTTGACCAAAAAAATAATACCTTTGACATTCTAATTATAAAAAGCTTGAAAAAAATAAAAAAGCCTCAATTTAGTATCACATTTTTGAATTCAAAATTTTTTGGTGTAGAGAGATAAAAAGCCACGAATTTATTATCACATTTTGAATTTATGGTGTAGAGAGATTATATGAACGTGTGGATAACTCACCTAAAAGAGATAACTATGGTCATTATTTTTTAATTAATCTCTTATTTTGATTTAATCTTGTGAAAGGTAATCACGTGCTCATTATACAATTCCATTCAATTTGGTTTCCTATTAAATGCCATTGGATAAATAACAATTTAAATAATACAATACAATAAAATAAATAACAATTTAAATACTACAATACAAATATATGTTTTAATCGGATCCATACAAACATAAAAACCTCATAACATAAAACTTAAATTCCATTCCACTAAAAAAATACATTATTATACAATTTTGATCAATAAATAAATTAATAAGCCATTGGATAGATAACAATTTAATAATACACTACAATTACATGAATAACAATTAAAATACTACAATACAGATACATGTTTTAATCGGACCTAACAAACATAAAAACCTCATAAAATAACTTAAATTCCATGTCACTTAAAATATACATTATTATACAACTTTGATCAATAAATAAATTAATAATTGAAGAGATTAGGAAGAAATTTGGTGCGCAAAGTTGCGCTTTTCTGATATTTTCATTCAAACTCAAAAATCTGGTAATTACAGTGAGGACGACGAACTTATAAGAATGTCATTACACGCAGACGACAAAGAAACGACAGCGTTTGACTCAGTACACTACCTACTATTTAGACGACGTCGTTCAACTTAATGAAGACGCATATGGAGAAAATAGAAGCGTGAAATGGGAGAAACAACAATATTAATGGAGAAAAGGAAAAATAACAAAAGCATGTATGCTAACAGCCCCCCCTCAAGCTAAGCATGGCTGAAACATGCTGAGCTTGGACAAGAGAAGATGCGCGCGTGGCCCAGGTAGTATCTTGGTGAAGATATCGGCCAGTTGCAGTTTAGAGGAGAGATGCAGTGGAAGAACAAAACCCTCCTTATATTTATCACGAACAAAGTGGCAATCAATCTCGAGATGTTTCGTGCGTTCGTGAAAGACCGGATTGGCGGAGATGTGTATGGCAGCCTTGTTGTCACACCAAAGGGGTATGGGATATTGTACAGAAACATGAAAGTCGAGTAAGATGTAGCTGATCCAAAGAAGTTCAGACACACAAGTGCTCATTGCTCGGTATTCGGCTTCTGCAGATGAACGAGACACCGTTTGTTGCTTTTTTGACTTCCAGGAGATCAATGAATTGCCTAGGAAAACACAGTAACCGGTGATGGATCGTCTAGTGTCCTTGCAGCACGCCCAATCAGCGTCACTATAAGAAGAAAGGGTAAAACCACCCTGATTGGAGAAGAATAGGCCATGAGAGGCAGTCCCCTTCAAATATCTTAGGATGTGCATGCCAGCCTCCCAATGTGAAGATCTAGGTGAAGTCACAAATTGGCTTAACTGCTGAATAGCATAGGTAAGATCAGGTCTTGTGAGATTAAGATATAGCAATCGGCCAATCAACCTCCTGTACTCATCTGGATTTTGCAATAAAGTCCCATCTTCAGTTTGTAGTTTAATCCCACAAGGTAAAGGAGTGGAAGTAGATGCACAATCCATCATATTCAAATCCCCCAGTAAGTCTAAGATATATTTTCTTTGATTAAGAACAGTACCTTCTGAAGACCTGATCACTTCCACTCCCAAAAAGTATTTTGCTGTCCCAATATCTTTGATGGTGAATGCTTGGTCAAGGTACCTTTTGAGATTAACCAACAGAGCATCATCATTGCTTGTTAAAAGAACATCATCCACATAAACTAAGATGGCCAAGAAACTGGTACCCTTCTTA